CATCGTTTCGGCTACCTTTAATCCCCAACACAGCAGCAGTAAGGGGCTCAGCGCGCAACATATAACGGGACACGGGTAATTCCCGCGGGGGACGCTAGTGCATAAACACGGGTAATTCCCGGGCGATTCCGAATGGTGACCGCGAGTCCCCCTTACTGCTGCTTGTGTACAGAAAGTGTGGTAACCAATCATATTATAATAAAACAATTTATCTATTCCTTCCTCCGCGCAAAATTTATTTCTGAAGTAAAGTAGGACTTGATGCATGAAGTATTTTTCTGATCCCTTAGTAATGCCCCCTTAAAAACATTCGCAAATTTGCAAACAGCTTCAATTTGGCTATCACTGAGTTTTTATGCATAGCCTTGAAAAATAGAGTCCCATCCCGCTTCGTACTTCGTGTTGTACGAAGCTCACTAACTAACTATGCTTATATTTTCAGGTCATTTTGGTAAATACTTGAACGAGTATGATGGAAGTTACATTCCAGCAGGTTGGCATCGCTGGGTCGGTCTGGTCCGTAACTCCAGGTTCTATAACTACACCTTGAGGCACAACACATTCTTCAGGAGACATAGTAATGTATACAAGAGGGATTACTTTACAGATGTTATAACCAATCACAGTCTGGCGTTCTTTCGTCACGCCAAGGCACGAAATCCAGAGAGGCCAATCTTGATGGTGATCAGTCATTCAGCGCCTCATGGACCAGAAGATGGTGCACCGCAATATAAAGATACGTTTGAGAATATCACATCTCCGAGGTAAGCCCCATTTAAACCAGCTATGCTGAACTGGGTATCTCTGCTTAAATATTGTCCATAAACTAAAGCCTTTCTCAATGGCACGAAATGACCAATGAGTGACAAGAGTGAGGTCAGTCCAAAAATAGCTAAATTTTGGTTGTCATCCATTAGAATAAAATTGTCAGTCTTTTTCCACACGCATGCATTAAAGGTGGTTTTATTCAAATATTTGAACCTAATAAGTTGAGTCGACTCCATAAGTTTTCGACAATGTTTTAAAAAGTCAGTAAACATATAGAGTGCCTTTTAAGTTTTGAAAGCCAATTTTTGCGAGTCCCACACTTTGACAATATAATTAATGTATTCTGATCTTAATGCTTTCCCATGTCGGGCCACGGGACATTCCCTTGAGTAATATTTCTTTCTTTTCCAGTAAACGGCTAGCCTGCGTGCAGCAGGAATTTTCTCTCAAATACAGATTCGTTCGAACACGCAAGCTAGTAAAAAACGGCTTGATAATACTAGTCAAGTATTTAAACTTACTGATAATCTTTGAGAATCATATTTTCAAGTGAACGACACTTTGATTTATCATTAATTCAAAGACAATTCATTATAATATTCTAAACTTACCATTCCGTAGTATGCTGTGATTTGATATTTGACATTCTTTCTGTTTTTAGAAGAATTTTAAAAACAGATTTTTTGTACTACTGGTAGTCAACATGGCCGCCATTAAACACCCATAATCCTTTGAACTTTCCACAGGCTACCCAACTGGAATTTCATCTCACCGGACAAACACTGGATAGTTCGAGTAACTCCCGAAATGACCAACCAAAAAATCGCATTCTCCGATCTTTTGTATCGTAAACGACTGCAGACGCTCCTCTCTGTTGATGAGTCTATACAGCGAGTATATGATATGTTGAAGGATACTGGCAACTTAGATAATACGTACATTTTCTTCTCGTCCGACCACGGTTATCATTTGGGTCAGTATGGACTTGTTAAAGGCAAATCCATGCCTTATGAAACAGATATACGAATACCTTTGTACGCTAGAGGACCTAACATCCCTACGAACATCAAGTATGTATGCACTGAAATTATTTTCACTGTAGTGTGCGTGTTTATAGTTCTAAATTATGGATTGTGAAGTCGACACACATTCCAACGTTCTTGGACAAACCTGCCAGATAATGACCAATTATGGTAAAGCCTGCCCATGCTTTTTGTCAAGGGAGGGGTTAAAGTCACACATGAGTTGCATTCCAATGTGCTTTGTGGACCTGGAATATTATAACTAAATATGGTAAAGGGAGGTCCATGATATTTTGTAGGGGTGGAGGAGAGGTTTAAAGTCACATATAAGTCAGATGCATTCCAACGTGCTTGGTAGACCTGGAATATTATAACTAAATATGGTAAAGGGAGGTCCATGATATTTTGTAGAGGTGGAGGAGAGGTTTAAAGTCACACATAAGTCAGATGCATTCCAACGTGCTGGGGAATATTATGGTAACTAAATATGGTAGAGGAAGATCTATGATATTTTGTAGGGGTGAGGGGTGGGGTGAGGAGAGCCGTGTAATTTTTTGGTCAAAATTATCATTTGCTCGTTTTCCAGGATGCACCAGGTAGTCCTCAACATTGACCTGGCCCCAACATTCCTGGACATTGCTGGTGTTAAAGCACCTCGTTCCATGGATGGCGTCTCAATCATGAAACTCTTTAGGCGTCTAAAAAGCCAAGATGACAAACCAAGAGTCAGAAGGTATAACATCCACAATCCCGACTCCAGGATCCGGATAAAATCTTATATGATACTGTTTTTATTTGTCCAGGAAAAGTAGCCATATGTGGAGGGACACATTTCTCGTCGAACGAGGGTATGTAGATACATTAAGATATACAGTCAATGTCATTAACGTTGTCCACCGAAAAAAGACATTTACACATTTACATATTTTAGACTAAAAGAAATGTCACGTGTTTCATTATGTATTCTTTGCCTTGTGTGCGCCAGCCTGAACTTTAAATGTAAAATTCAACTCGTGAATCGAAAATCCAGAATGCCCCGACCATTTAGAGGATTTAAGATGGAGAATGGTATTTCAGCGTTTGTTTTATGCCAGAACCTTCGAGGAAACACGTGATATTTCTTTTAGTCTAAATGTGTAAATGTGTGAATGTGTAAATGTGTAAATTTGTAAATGTGTAAATTTGTAAATGTTTTTTTTTTGGTGGACAACGTTAATGACATTTACAGTGTAGTTATTTTAGTTGTTCCTTCCTTCCTTCCTTCCTTCCTTNTTCCTTCCTTCCTTCCTTCCTTCCTTCCTTCCTTCCTTCCTTCCTTCCTTCCTTCCTTTCTTTCTTTCTTTTACCACTACGAAACCAAACAACTACCATGTTAGCTTTCGATCTAAGCAGTCTTCCCTTAAATTACAGAAAACCGAAAAGGTATGCCAAATCTAAGGTTGTAAAGAAACTCAAGAAACCCACCAAAGCTACCTTTCTTGAGCAGCTTTGCTTGAAGACCAAGTACAGAACACCTTGTGCCCTGGGACAGGAATGGCATTGTGTGCGTTTAAATGGTCAGCAGAGACTGAGGAAATGCAAAAAGGTTTCAATTGGTCAGCAGTTTGTTCCATCGACTTCACCTCCGACACTGGAAGTAGAAATGTGCACGTGCTATCGTCCTAAATTGCCTTGGATGGCGGAAAAAAGCAGTCCAAATGATGAGCCGCACGGTGGTAAGTGTGTTGTTGTAGCGTTTGACAAAAACGAGTTGGGGTTGGGCACTTTTTTGTCGCGCAGGGACTGGGAAACGGCCCTCTGGGTGTACTGTAGTCAAAGTCAGTTTTCCAGTGTCTCCTGTCATGGATGCCATCACGTGATGGTACAAAGCCTTTGTTCAATTAAACATCTCCCTGATAATAATACTGGTGCTTTTTAGATATTATTTACCAAATTCTAACTGTTGCGTTGTGCTTTTTTTATATTTCCTAGATGACTGGGAGGCTTATTTACGTAAAAACGAAGTAGAGCTGTCAAAACAACTCAGACGATTTCGTAGATCAGTCCAACGAACGTCACTCAAAGAAAAACAAATCACGAGGGAATTATCTCGTGCAATGAAGCAGCAGACAAGAAGAAACAAAGCCAAGATGCTAGAACAAGAGAGTAAAAGATCGCAGGAAGAAGAGGAGTCTGATAACCCTGACTTGGATGTGGATGGAAAACTTCAACGACTGAATGCTCGAATAGCTGGTATAAAGAATCGCTTGGAAATGCTCCGTGGCAGGAAAAAGAAGCTCATTCGAATCAAAGAGGAAAAAGAAACTGAAAAAAACTTTAAAGAAAAATACGAGGAATTCCCTTGTGCTTGTCCTGTTCCTTCGCGCTCAGTGTTTAAAAAATCGAGGCGACCAAAACGCAGTCGAAGAAGCGGGAGGCTGTTTGAAAGACTTCGCAGCGGAATGATTGATCCCGAGGTATACAGAAGGAAGATGAATAAGAAAATGATGAAACGGTCTGGACTCAGGTCAGGAATGAGGAAATCATTAACCGTTAAGAGGAAAAAGAAAACGGAAAAGAAGAAAAGTTCTCGGAGATCCAAGTGTTCGATTCCCGGTCTCAACTGTTTTTATCAAACTAATGATCATTGGAAGTCAGAGCCATTGTGGAAAGGTTGGTACACTGGTTACTGGTTGCACGTCATATCCGGTCTAGTGCGCGTATGATTTTGTCCTCAAATGTCTCCAAAACTAAAAGTCAAATTCCAGTCTGAATGAATGTACCTCAGCTGATCTGAGAGAAAATGTTAGCCAATGAGAATCAAGAAAATTTGCAAAAAAGAGGTGTTGCTTTTCCTCTTGGAACTATTGATTTCCAAGCCACCAAATGAAAAAACAAAAATGTTGGTAATAAGAGGTTGATAGCAGTAATACAATAACTAATGAGTTTTATATTTTTATTGCGATGGTGGTCAGGTCTTTATTTTTTGCTGGTCATTTTTCACAGGCTTCATGACACCTCAGTTTTGCAGTGACGTTATTTCTACGTCACTATTTCAGATAAGCTGGCTGTTAGAAGCATGTTAAACAACGTATTATTTATGTGTATAGAAAAAGATCAGCCTATGATTTATTGTCGTTCTGCTCTAACCGTGAACTCTCGAGCTTGTCAATTAATCAGATTACAAACCAAAAACAATAGAATTCCAATTATTGAAAGTCTATGAAAGCTATTCATGGAGATGAAATAATGATAGAGAAAGAAAAAAAATGAAATAATTTACACCAATAAAAGATAAAATGAAATAAACTCGATTGTTCATGGTTAAAGTAAAACGACAGTAAAAGATTTCTACCACTTATATATTTGTTCTTTACTTGTAGGAGGCGAGTTCTGTTTCTGTCCCAGCTCAAGTAACAACACGTTCTGGTGTCTGCGTACGATAAATCAACACCAAAACTTCTTGTACTGTGAATTTATCACACAATTCTTGGAGTATTTTGATCTCAACGCCGATCCTTATCAGGTACCATTAAATACATCTTGAAAATGGTTATGATGACGTTAATGATGATGACGTAGATGACGTAGATGATGGATATAATGATGATGATGGTGATGATGATGATGATGAGGAAGTCGAAGATAAAGAAGTCAGTAAAGATATGTGATATTAGCGATCACGATGATGATGGTGATGATGATGATGATGGAGATAATGATAGATAATGATGACGATGATGATGGAGATAATGATGATGATGAGGAGGAGGAAGTCAAAGATGAAGAAGTCAGTAAAGATATGTGATAATAGTGATAATAAAAATCATAATTGTTGATGATATGCTCCCTTTTGAGAGTGTTTTACCTCTGGTGCGAACAAATTTAATATCTGTCCGCCGCAATAGGAAAACATTACAGCCAAAAAAGAACCACTCTGAGAAAATGGTAAGATAGTTCTTATTCATCTATTATTTCTTTGATTTTTCTTTTCCAGTTGTACAACATCGTAGACCGCATTAGTCCCTCCGTTTTATACGACCTGCACAACCAACTCGAGCACATGAAGGGATGCAAAGGTGCTCAAAGCTGCACACAGTATCATGGGAAACCAAGGCCCACAACACCTTCACCTTTACTAAATATCACTGAACAACCTGTGTTGATGTCTACACCGGAGCCTACACAGCCTACAACAGTGCAGAAAACAACAGACAGACAAGAGGTTATTACACCTACGAGAAATGCGTCGAGCGAGGTCGAGGAAAGTCCATCAGAGTCGTCTAGCGAAATTGAAAAAGGGATAAGTGAAAATAAGAACGAAACGAGAAGTGGAAGGGAAGAGATCGAAGGCAAGAGACGCGAGAAAGAAATACGAAAGAAAAATGGGAACAAAGCGGAATCCGTTGTTGATAAAGAAAAGACTGAAAAGAAGAAAAGAAGAAAGAAGAAAAGAAATGGTAAGGCGTTAAAAACTGGGAATAAAAGAAATAAGAATGAAAATGAGAATTTACCAACGGAATTGACACCAACGACGGTGGCTCCCACTTTGATGGTTGAGAAAGAAAGAAAAAAGCTGAGAAGAGAGAAGAAAATACGACCAGGCCTAGGGACCTCAAAAGAGCAAAAACAACTGAAAAAACGAGAAAAAATTAAAAGTCGTCATAAAAATAAAGGAAATACGACGAATGGAAGAAAAGGCGTTGGATCTAACATAAATAGGTCTTACATGTCAACAGTGACTCCGACGACATCACAAGCTCGCGACGAAGATACCCAAAAGGATGAACAACAAGCTAAAAGATACGAAGAGGAAATTCCAGAACAAGAAGATAAACCTATTGAGGAAACAGCAAATCTCTAGATTCGAATTTTCCCACGATTATATTGATTCATTTGGGCATTTACGATAAGATTTATAGTTGACATCAAAACGAGGCCCGTGATGACATTTTTTAGGCCTATTTTTGTCGAGGCTTGGTAGTCTTTAGTGTAACGTCAGTAGTATGGAAAAACGACTTCTGGGTCCAAAACGAAAAGCAGTTCTACAATGATTTTTCTTGCTGTTTCTTCGGGACAGGATTTGTTGTCCAAAGTTCTATTTGTCTCAGGAGTAGGTTACATCATTGAGAATATTTTTCTTCTTCTTTATTTTGATGCCGGTATACACGGTACGGTATTTCCTCGCGCGCAACATGCTGACAACACGAATTGCTTCGAATAAATCAACCGTGAATTAGCCGTTAATGAGCAGTTGGACCCGAAAAAAACGTTACAACTTAAAAGCTCTATATATTGAGAAAGGCTGATTTAAAAGCTAGTCATTCCGAGGCTGCATAAAAGCCTGCGTCGAGCTAGTACTGCAGTGCATTGTGGGGCTATTCAAGAGACGAAAAAACAGTCCCAAAATGCACTGCAATGCCAACCCGATCCACGGTTTTTCCTCAACGTAGGAATGGTTTATAGAGCGTTTTCACTTACGTGAGAAGGCAGCCATAAACAATAGAAACTTTCTGCACAGTATTTGCATAAAAATAGAGTTCAATTCCCGGAGGATAGAAAATGTATTGTTTTGGTACCCCATAATGGCCGCTGTGACGTCACGTGAAAACGCTCTATAATAAGTCCAAATTTACTTAAATTACTAGCCAACCACTTAATAGGAAACACATTTTTGGCTAGAGGGGGGAGGAGGTTTACTTGACTTCAGAGTGGAGTACATCATAGATAATTCAAGGCCTTAAAATGCCTATGCTTTTTCTTTTTTGAAAAAGATTGTGGAATTCTCCATGGGCTTATCCCTATTTTTTTCTTTTCTTTTTACTTTTTTTTTGATTAAAATTGTGCTTTTTTCATGCAGCAGCCATGTAATTGGTTTGAACAATAGATTCCTCCATGTGTGGCCTCGCATTAAAGTAGTTGAAAATAAATGTATGGGGGAGAAACAAAGACCTTTTTTCTCATGAGAAAAAACATGGCCATCGCGTGATAAAGGTCTATGTGTTAGTGTGAGAGCAGAAGGTTTTCCACCAGCATTTTTTGAATTACGTAATAAATGCCTCCTTTCCTTCCCACACAAATAACGAAAAATATATCTTTATTGGTTTTAATACCCTAAGTTTTTTTCAAAAGGGCTATAAAAGCCAATTTTTTATATTCTAGTTGAGTGGTCAAGCACCAAACATTCTGGCCCAAGGCTCTAGAGAAACAATGTAATAGACCCCTTGCATGTGAAGTCAAAACAGCTCAATTTGGAGCCAAAACAAAAGAATTTCAATCTCAAGAGAATTGGAAACCTATTGTTGTGTAGTGCAAATTGAGCTGCATTCCAATGTGCTGCAAGGAACCTATTGGAATTGTTCTTTTCTTTTCGTTATTAAGGTCCATGGGAAGCAAGAACACATATGTGTCCAATGGCATGTTTTTCCCAGTTATATCAAATTTATACTTCATAAAGCATTTTTAGAAAAGTTTTAAAATAATTGATAGAAACTACAAGAACATGCCAATGAAAATGTGTTAAAGGTTCTTTAGTACCCCCATTGTGCTGTGACTTGTAGTCCAGCCTTTGACCCTTTCTATAGAGCAAAAACTACCCATAGGTAGATAAGAAGAATGAGTGGGTTTAGTTTTAATGGACAGTTTTATTTTCAATGTTCTTCAAAAAAGTCGGCCTTGTCTGAAAACATTGAATGCCCCTCTCCCTATTTCATTATCCTATATCTGCCTGTGGAACCATGTTCACTGGAAGACAATATTTTTCCTTGTTAAATTAGTATTAGTATTTCCCTCATGAGAATAGCAAGACAATCGGTGCTAATTAACTGAACAAAACAAAGTGTGTATGGGATTCTGGTAGTAGAGGTTTTTTTTAGACAATACTTGACATTCTTTATTGAATACTTACCCTCCCCTCCCTCAGGTTTAAGTTTTTAAGCATTGACTTTAGTCTAAGTAAGGGAGCTGGAAGAAGTTTTTAATGTTTCTTTTTGAGTAATGTTAATGTGCTTTAAGATAAATTTGAAATTATTAAAATTAATAAAAGAGAGAATATGATCAACTTTAATAGCATGTTGTATACACTTATTAATGATAATTAATAATTTATTGAATCTATATAGCACAAATCTCAATTGGGGTATTTTCATTTGTATTTCAATAAAGTTAGTCACCTGAAAAGCTACAAAGCTGAGACCGACAATGGACCGATTATGGATAGATACATTTTACATGTTTCAACTGCTTGATAACTGTTGATGGACATGAGATCTTCTACAACTTAAAAGTTAACCTCCTCTGCGCATCCTCAACTGCTGCAGTTTGTGTCAAAAGCTTTACTTGTTGGATATAAAACATTTTCCCATGATTCTCAGCGATCACAGCTTTCTAGGTTTTTGGTGAACAAACTTTATTGAAGTAAGTACTGATTTCAGAAAATGTTTTAATAGTGGTAACTAGTTGATACTGAGAGGCTAGGTGTGTTCTTTTTTTTTGTTTTTGTTTTTTTTTTTGAGTAAATTAAAGCTGTCATTTTTTCAAGGCAAAAACTTGGAATAAAGAAATAACAAGCTATGAAGAAAATCTTCTTTGACTGGCTAATTCGTTTTGGCAGACAGAGGCGGAAGCACCTAAGAGTCATTTCAGATGAGAGAAAAAATGTGAGCATTTTACCTTACATTGTAAACATTGTTTTCAGCTTCAAAACAGAACAGAATTTAATTTTAAGTTACCTTAGTACTGCAAACAGACTGCTCAACATTTTGTAACTTACCATAAAAAAGTAGATGTAGACAAAAAGAGAAAAATGAATTCTGTGAGACATGAAAAAATAATCTTAATCATGGTTAACTCTGTTTTCTTTTGTTATTGGCATTAACAGCTTACAACTCTAATAATATTCCAATATATTTTCTTTTGATACAACTTGGTAATATAATTTTTTATGTCAAGAAAAGAACACATCATTAAATAATAAAACTCTCATAAAAATATAATTCTATTTCCATTTTTAGGGTGAAAATTACTAAAAAAATATGATTTTTATATAAGTATTTACGGAAGAAACCTTATTTTTGTATGACACTAACCATGTTATTCAAACTCTAACTGTTACCGAGCAATAAACTTCATCCTTTGATAAGATGATGGCCTCTTCAGCCAGGAGCATGCACATGCCACATGAAATTTTTGTCTTTTAATTTTTTTGAATGTGTTTAATCAAAGTTAATAGAGGGGAATGGTTAGGAAACCTATTGTTATCAGGTCTTTGTTCGCTTGTGAGGTTGAACCGGTCTTGACCGTGCAATATGTTTGATTTATGCTCATCCGAAATTGCAAAATAAGTAAACATAAACTTTGTCTATGGGATTATTGTAAGGAATATACTTTAAAATCTTTAAGTATTTTGAACTAGCTGCCAAAAGAAAGATTTTGGTCTGTTCACTCAGCCATTGCCAACAATGGTAAAACAATGGTAAAACAAAGGGTTGTGCAAGGTCACGCTTGAAAAAAGTGAACAATAACCTATAACAATAGAGTTTCCAAACCATTCCCCTCTATTAAGGACGTTCATGGGCATTGTTCACACGCATCCTTCTACACGTGAATTTAGTGCGCGCGCGCTCATCGTGATGACGTCTTTCTAATGTTTCGATTTAATCTCTTATAGCTCTAAAACGAAGTCGGGCACCCCCTTTTTTATTTCGTTTTTTGAAAGTATTCGGCAATACCTAACTTTAGAGGGGAAAAATCTGACGATGGGATCAAATCGAAATTACAAATTTTGTGCATAATAAATTGGAATACGTAATCACGTAACGCGAAGGCTTCAAGGCCACACTTAAAGCACAAATACTGTCATTTCATAAGTCGGGGACACCACATCTTTTATTTGCTTATTTCACTTTTAGTATGATGGAAAAAAATCTGACGATGGGATCTTTTGCCCATGAACGTCCTCAAGAATAACTTCATTCCTATAGTAACATAAGGTGGAAAACTAGTGAAAACTAGTGTAAACTGCGTCGGTGTTTTCAGTAAAACAGTTGATAGATAGATAATTTRTAACACCGTATGGTATGTAAAAATGAAACTGACGTTTCGGACGTTAGTCCTTCATCGGAGTAAACGAGAGATGAATGTGAAAATGTGTTTATATAGTGAGCGTGGATGATAAATAACCAATGAGAGATAAGATATATTATACTTATCTCTCATTGGTTATTTATCATCCACGCTCACTATATAAACACATTTTCACATTCATCTCTCGTTTACTCCGATGAAGGACTAACGTCCGAAACGTCAGTTTCATTTTTACATACCATACGGTGTTATAAATTATCTATCTATCAACTGTCTTATAGTAACATACCTTATCAATTCTATTCAAATATTAAAGCACTATTATTATAATAGATAACGATCAAGTTATTATTCATTATTTACATTATTAATATTTTACATTATTTTACCTTAAATAATAACTATTAAACTTTCATTCGAGGTCACATATTTCCGCGAGATTTAAATTTCACAATTTTGCCAAAAATCCATATTTAAAGTTAGGAGGTGTTCAGGGCACGAAATTAACTTTTAAACCGACTAGAAAAACCTTGCTAGTAAGTTTTGTTCTCATTTGTAAAAATTTGAAAGTCACTAGCGATCGGACGCGGTGAATAGCAAAAGTTACTTGATGCGGGTTCTAAGTTTTTCAGTCCTTCAATTCCTGGATTGTGGTCATACTCGCAAGTTAGCTAGTTAAATTTTTTGTCACTCGTTGCGAGTTTGCGAACGTTACTTTGAATACTAATAATCCACCATAATCCTCTATAGATTCAATTCCGTAACTACAACTTGGGCTACCTGTGATATGTCTGGTATCACAACAATTATGACAATGTAATACTATTTATCAACTTAGTCGTCTGTCGTTAACTCACTTTCACTTAGTATTTCTCCTTCCTTGTCGTCGTCACGTTGCATGACGTAATCTGCACGTAATCGGTCAAGCTCGTCTAGTTCACTCTGTTGAACATAAAATTGTAATTTAATTGCAGCAACTGCTGAGCGGCTGCGCGTCAAAAAGTAGGGTACGACTGTGTCTTTCAGAAAAATTTTGATTATACGATAAGGCTATATTGGTAGTTGCTAAGCATCTACCCGTGGCTACGCGTCAAAAAGAAGAGGACTTTTGATTAGAGCGAGGCTATATTGGTAGAGGCTACTAGGCTTAAAGTTGATCTGCAAAGTGGCTATTCCTCTACGCGTAGCCATAGCCACCGGCTACACCGAGTAGGGAAGGTGTGCGGGGCAGTCTAGCCATGTATTAATGCTTCACCTCATCTCTCTTTCCACACTCCATTTTAGAAACGTTTTGATTATATATTGGCGTAGCAGCTATGCATCTATACGGCATGGCTACGCGTCAAGAAGAGGACTTTTGATTAGAACGAGTTTTATAACTACAGCTGGAAGTGATTTTAATTATTATTTTAATGTATACCAAAAAGAAAAGTGACAATTTGGCATAAAAATATCTTGCTTATCTGTATTTATAAGAATAAGGGATATAAAACCGCGCGTGCATCAATATACTGTGATATAAACTCCATGAGATCTAAAGAACAAGGAAGAGTCATAGACAAACACGAGGCGTTAGCCCACGAGTTCCTTTAACTTCTTGAGTAGAGAGAAGTTGATTTTCGATTTCAAATAATAAGAGATTAGCAGGATTTGAAGTAACGTTCTTGTCGTGGATTTCCCAAGGATCTAGAGTAGTTCTAATTGGGAACCCTGTGTTTGAGATAAATTGAAATTTGGGAGCCCTGTGTCACTCCTTATGGAATAGGTGAAGCACATAGATGTAAAATTAATAAGTTCGAAGAAATAAAGGAAAGAGTATAGTTTTATTCCATCACAGTTCTTACCTGCACTAATCCCAGGTAATAATTTCGTTTAGTTTTGATCTTCTGCATTGGGAATGGATTGAGCCCTTGAAATGCAGTCTGTAGGAAAGAGAACATAATTGTGAAGATCAAGAGAAAAATAAAAGGATAAGAAATTAGCTTCTGTGTTTATTATTTTCTTACCTGGGTTAATGCATGGTGATCAGCAATTCTTTCTGTTACTTGTCTCATGTGACACCTCCCTCCCTCCCCCCTGTTGTCAAGGTAGACCTTGCTACGTCACTGTGATGTGGCAAAGTGGTTTTCATTATTTTACCTGGGTTAATGCATGGTGATCAGCAATTCTTTCAGGTACTTGTCTCATGTAGTTAAATATTCCTGTGGCTTCTTCTATTTTCAATATCTGTTCTTCATTAGTTTTAAACACGGCCAAAGCATACCGGAAAAGCACCTGTTCAATTTGAAACCGTAAATGAAATGATGTCGACCATACTATTAAGTTAAAAACTGATATGTCTTTTAACTCGACTATTGATGCGTCCAATGGCAGATCCACCCAGGAGCAGAGCAGAATTCCCAGGATAGGGCGAGTAAAAAAAAATGCCGAAAAACGTCGTCATCGCCAAAAGCGATAGGCGATAGGTCATTCCGACACGGAAATGGTTTCGTCGACTACAAAGAACATTGAATCTGTCTCAACACTAAGATCCATGGTCTTGACGAGAATAAGGCGCAGAAACACATGCCATTCCAGCTATTCTTGGATCTTGAAATGACTTATCTCATATCGCTTTTTGTCTATCGCCTATCGCCTTTGGCGATGACAACGTTTTTTGAAATAGGTGTATATAAATAGGTACTCCCCAAGGATGTTAAGCATTTTGCAAGAAAATTACTGCTAAATCAACAGGTCTGGAAGTACTCCATGAACATACCAACTTCATACCTTATTGCCCTCAAGGAAGTAGCAGTCCCAAATCCTGAGAATCGTCTGAAAATATAAATTAATATTCACATTTGGAATAAGTGTAATATGATGAAAAAATAACAAGTTTGTAAGGAGTCATGAGGCCATCGTTATTTCAGGATTCTACGACAAACATTAAAAGCTACCTACAGCTAAGGCCTAACCATTTGCAGATACTTTTATAGCAAAGGTAGCACTTTCAAGTCTCATACTTGAAGACCCTAAGTGTTGTTTCTTCCACAGCTTGAACCCACAACCTCCTACATAATAATCTGGTACCCAAAGGTTTTTAGTGATCAAAAGTGATCAAAAAAATAAACGGAAAGAGCAGACGCACGCAAGTTGATGACGCACGGGAGTAGGGCAAGGCGAAATTTAAACTGCATCCGGTTACCAAAAATAGCCCAACCGGGAATTTACCGTCATGCCGCGCGCGTTGTTAAGAAATTTCCCTCTCTTATTTATGCTCTTTTGGTTATACGAAGGAAATGATGATGTTTTACCTCTATAGGGAAACTATCCACAAATATGGTCAAGAACCAATTGAAGGTGATCAAGGACAAGTCCACACTGTAAAAGAAAGAAAGAAATTAAAGAAAACACCGATGACTCAGCTTTCATCTGCAGTCTCCCACAACCTATGGACGTAATTGGGAGACCGCTGAAAACAAGAAAGAGAGAGACTTAAATGAGCCAGCCCGTACCGCTCAGAACGAGTTACATGATTGGATTAAAAAACAATAGATTGGTCATCCAAACAATAGCACTAAACCTAACCTTACGAAAGCTGTACTGTACTTAGGGAGCAATGAAAATCCAGTTTTCGAGCGGTACTGGATTACTCACATAAATGTAAGAGCCACATTTGAAGAATTTTTTTATCAGAATACGAAGACCCCCTATCTTGCTCGCCCAATGCATGGAAAAGTGCCACTCAGGTTGAATGACCTTTTTCTCCAGTGATTCAAGCAAATACATGTATGGTACTCCAAGTAAAAGCATGGAACCTCTGGCATGGCAGGGTAGGTCCGCACCCCCCCCCCCCACC